GAGGGAAGTGCTGTCTGCACAGCTTGGCCGTGAGCCACGAGCAGAAAACGTCTACTTTCAGGCCGATGGATTCCAGCTGCCGTATATAGAAGCCTACAAGAATCGTGGACCACTTTTGCAGCAGCTCTGCTTTTACGAATACCTATCCCTTGTTACCCTGAGGAAGGAGGAATCTCGGCAGAGAGGCGTGGTAATTCCATTTCCATCTACCGCGACTGTCTGTATGGGCTGGGTTCAATGTCTTCGATCAGCCGGCAAAGCTGCCGTTCCGGTTTTCGACGGGCGTGTCACTGATGAATTCGATGGACAGGATGAAAATTTTGTCAAGAGGTCAGCACACATCATCTCTGGATTTGAGGTGAAGACGCTGACGTAGTGATAGGAACGCGGTGTTACATCTTGCCCTCTTTGTTCCTTGGGAAAGGTTCAGGGGAGAGGACGTGAGTCAAGCGGATGACATACCGAGGATTTGGAGGTCCCTCGAAGGGGGCCTTAGTGACCGGATTCGCTCCCACGTTCAGAATATCGCGTTGCTACGAGTTTCTGCAGAAGATGCACGGGCGGATCGTAGGCTCCAAAATATGGATGAAGACTTTGCGGACGTTGTAGACTCCGAGGCGTTGGGCGAACAAAATAGGGATGGAAGTGGACTTGTAAGTTCGGATGATGTGGAGATAGAGCCCCGAAAGTACCACGACGCCTTTCTAGACATATTATCAACGGCACAGGAAGGTGAGATCAGGGGTATGCCGGTCAGCTTGGCGCTACAATGCTTAAGTGGTGAGGCCGGAGGAGCAGGGTTAGAAGATGGAGACGATGCTGCTTCGCAGCAAGGTCGGCGCTTTTATACCTCGTTACAAGATACACAAAGATCACCGTTCTGTGGAACGGGCCTCTTGAGCCGAGAGGAGATCGATGCGGTGCTGAAGTTACAGAAGAAAGAAAATGACAGCATCACGGCACACATTTTGGGCCGAGATCGCACTGAACAACCGACTCAGATCGAAGATCCTGGATGGGAAACCGATACCCTCGAACGGACAGCGGAGCTAGTCGAAGCATTTACGAGCGAGCCCGGCAAAGAAGCTCGAATGTCTATCGAGGTCGGTCCCTATACGTCCTATATAGACGTAGCCCTGTTTCTGGCCAGGAAGTGGACTTTGAATAAACTGCAGTCCATGGCGGTGCTATTACCAGCAGCGTTCCTTGACGAGAGAGGCGCGCGGCTACAAGAAGGAGAGGGGAAGCAGCATTTCCAATACGTTGGAGGAGAAGGTGGGACAGGCAAGTCCCGTGTCATTCACGCCATCAAGGACATATTCCGGCTGAAGGACAGCCTCCATACATTGCTCCTCACAGGTGCTAGTGGAAACGCCGCGGCGCTTATTGGTGGAGTGACCCTCCACTCAGCGTGTAACTTGGGCTTTGAGGGCAGGAATGAAGCTCTACGAAGCATTTCGGAAGAAGAAAAGCTTCGTTGGAAGAATGTCGTATTCTTGGTTGTCGATGAGATCAGCCAGGTAGGTGGCCTGACATTTGCATCCGTGGACAGCCGTCTAAGGTTATACCGAGACGACGCTCATCGTCCTTTTGGAGGAGTGCCAATTGTAATCCTTTGTGGAGACTTCTTCCAATTCGACCCTGTGAGGCAGACCAGCTTGCTGCTGCCTCAGCCCAAGGACCCCGGGAGGCAGAGGCCTGAGACTTTGGCTAAGCATCTGGCAGCCTATAAGCTGTTCCTCCAGTTCTCTCACGTGGTCATTCTCCGCGAGCAGGTGCGGGCGGCCCGATATGCTCGATTACGTGGATTTCTGCAGCGTCTTCGAGAGGGCCGGCAGACCGAACTAGACTTTGTACGCTTGTGTGGCCGCCTATACAACCAGGAGTCTCAACCCTCGTTTGGCGAGGGGCTGAGAGCAGTGACGCCCCTGAATCAAGACAGATGGGATCTGAACATGGCGGCGGTGGTGCAGTGGGCTCGCGCCCAGGGCAAGCACATCTCAATATTCATAGCAAAGCACGATGTAGAAGCAGGAGAGAAGTTGGGTGCGGAAGAGCTATACGACGTCCTCCGCTACGGGGACGACTCCCATCTACCGACCCCTGGCTTGTTCTTCTATGCATAAGGTATGCCGGTAGTGGTGACGAGGAACCAGCTCACCGGTCTGAAGCTGGTCAACGGCGCCCCGTTCGAAGCCGTCGACATCATTCCCGACCTGACTTATGGCACCATAGCCCTGGCTGGCGATGTTACACTGCACCTTGGACCGCCAGCAGCGATCCTCCTCCAATCTGACGAGAGTGCGAGCGTAGAGACACCAGGACTGCCCAAAGGGACAATATTGATCAGAAGCAAGACAGTAGCGATCCCTGAGGCTATGCGGGGGAACAATACCAGAGCAAGAGGCAAGCCGGGATTTGAAAGGATCACACACAGAACCGGACCTTTATGCACACCTGCTTTCGCCATGACGGATCAGAAGAGCCAGGGAAAGTAGTTCTCCAAAGTCCTTCTTAACCTAAAAGGCGTCCGCGGCAGCAGCATGGGAACAAGGCCGAGCTTCATGAGCCTCTACGTGCAGCTATCGAGAGCAGAGAGCTGGGAGGGCATCTTTCTCTTCCGAAAACCAGCACGAGGCGATTTCATCGAACCGAAGAATGTGCTAGACAGAGACATGTGGGACGCGGTTCTAAGGCTCGAGAGGCGAGGGGATGAGACGTAAAGGTGCTTCGAACGAGACCACAGACACCAGAGCTGGTTTCAGGAATGGGACGCCATGCCGGAGACGACGTCGATGTCCGAAGTCATCGATGAAGGGGACGGCTCGGTCTGGGAGCCAGGAGAGAGTTGACGGCGAGACATTATCGAATCTCTCATAGATATAGTTCTATCAGCCATGTGTGAAGGTGTGGAAGTCGTATTGTCGAGTTATAGAGCAGAAGCAGCTTGACGGTAGGTATCGATGTAGATAATGCTTAGAATAGGCATAAAGGCATATGATACGATAGAAACAGGCACAACTGCAGCCGCTGGACAGGGGTCCCATACAAGCGACAACTTATGGGTAAGCAAACTGCCCGTGCACGACACACCACCGAGACCCATGCACGGACTCAGGACCAGACACCTGGCGTAATTGAAGCAGACAGTTTCATAAGGAAGGCAAACGGAACAAAGACAGGCATAGCATTGACATAGTTCCTCCAGGCACAGGCACTGGCCCTAGGCACTACGCGTCAATCAATCGGCACCTCAGAGCAAGAGGCATCGTGAGATCAACACGACCATCAGGTGTAAGAGCACGTGAAATAATGGAGAACCCTGTCTAGGTGCTGACGCTGGACGAAAAGGGGAAGAGCTGGCCCGAGCTTCTTTGCGTGTCGGGCGGGCGGGCCTAAAGAACCTTACGGAACTTTACTTCGTAGTTCCTCCAGGCATTTCGCCGGCCGAAGCTAGGGTGACCATAGGGGATAATTAGGCGGCCGCAGCCAGCGTCGCCAGTCTAGACAGATGTGTTTTGTTCAATTATCCCATAGCACGGCTGTTTACGAAGCGTTTGGGCGTCAAGACGGTTCTGAGAGCTCTCTTTACTTAGAACAAATGAGTTGATCGGTTGCAGCGCCGATGAGATGCTTCTGGTGGTTGTCGTGTGATGAACTCGCCCATCTTGCCAGCAGAGGAGCGAAGGCCGATTGGTAAGTACTAGTATATTTTTAATCAATGCGCATACACCAATACATGATGTGCCGGGTTGGAGGATCACCTCGGGTGTTGGCCTTGAAAGGGACAAGAGGACGGTTTTTGGGTCAAATAGAACTGCAGACTGCTGTACGGTAGGTGCCTTACTGTGCAGATGTGTAGCTATCACCTAGGGGACCACGTGATCCTCCGGAACGCCCGCGATGGTCACGATTCACGATTCACCGGCTCGGGTGAAGCTGGACATTTCCTCACCATCACCCAGCATTGTTTTTCTTTGTTTTCCGTGACCGCCCGGCCCGTTCCGTTCTATCACAACCCGTGACCACCCCCATCACAAGCCAGACAAGACCATGGAACTAGCATTACGACCATTTCAGTGGTCAGCTTCAGTGTTGCCGCTCGACAGACCCGGAGTCGAGGCCGAGGTCGGTGTTGAGGGAAAAGTATCGTCGAGCACCACAACAAAGGCTGCTACTCCTTACGCAAACATCTCTCAGCTCCCCTCTCCGCGACTCTCCTCTTCGTCTTCATCTTCGGCTTCTGATTCTGCCGCGCTGATACCTCTTCCTCCATCTGCTACCTCAGCAGCCAAAGCGCCAGCCCAGACAGCAACACTCGACGACCGCGGCCGCCATCGCCACTGCCACCTGTACAACAGCGAAGATCGCAGCGAAAATACCCTCAGCGAGTGCAATACCATCCCATCCGCTTCTTAGAAACAGACCCAGAAGTAACCACGGCTCTGTGGCAAGACGTATACGAGACCAAAGGAGAATTTGAAGCCGCCATGATGGCTAACAGCACTTCGTCCCTCATCACCACCACCACCGCCGCTGCCACCACTACAAGTATCATACCGCCGCGTCTTTCCGGCTACGTCAATATCGACAGATCCCCACGATGCATTGTTCCAGAGGAGCACTTCGGGCCTTTGGCCCCGTCGTCGTCGCTGTTTTCGGGAGACAAGGAGCACGAGGACAATGCCACGGCACCACCATCACCACCGTTCCCCAATCGTGAGCGAGAAGGCGACTTCTTCGCCATCTTAAAGTAGCTACGAGCCAGCGACTCATACCGATCCATAGATGAGCTCAAAGAGATTGTCGGCTTCTATCTTGCCCCGCGACACATTGCAGGTGCCAACTTGGCACCAGCCGCTGCGACAACTGCCACGGCAGCCAACAAGAAGCTTGCGTGGCTCCCCGTCAGATTCCTCCGGGTCGATCCGTTGAGGAACAAAAGCAATGAAGAGACTGATTGGCAGCCGCTTCCTGCCATCGACACTCGCCACGCTCAGCATCACCACGACGAAGACTACCACTGCCCACAACAGAATGCGCAGAAGCGGCCACAGCAGCAAGGGGTTCTCGCCTGCTCCACTGCGAGCATTACATACTGGCTGGCACCCTATCCAAACAGTGTGTCCCTTATGTTGCGCCTTCAAGCCTCGACCTATGCCGAAGGTGAGGACTACGCCGTGTGTCCCTACCTCTCGATCGAGTACCAGCTCGACGGGGAGCATACTGACGAAGAAGCCGTGACAAGACTCTCCAAAGCAGGCGGCGCTGCCCTCTACAACCGCTTCCTTCTGCACGAGCGAAAAGCATCAAAGAATGGCGCGTACGATGGCGGCACGGATACGGAGATGAAGCAAGGCCGGGTCGTGGGAGGAAGGGACGATTGCGGCGAGCGCGATGACGACACCATCCGACACTACTGTATCGTCATCGGGTGGGAGAAGTTCAGCGTGTGGGTGATCAGGCCCACCCGAGACAGCCGCGCCTTGGATACCGTCGAGGCGCCCCCAGCGGCTTCTTCCAAGACCATCATGTCCGCCCGGTCCAGCACCAAGCCCAAACCTGAGCCTGAGCCCGGCAACACGGCCCGCGCGCCGCGCTCGTGGCACGGAGGCAACAACATCGCGCCTAACTCCTCTCTCGTGTCGCACAGTAATCACTACGTCAGCCCCGACAGTAGTATCAACAACGCGGTCCAGCGGAGCCGCAACTGGCGAGGCGCCCAGATGATGCGGCTTACCGGTATCAACATAAACGAACTGTCCAAGGACCTGCTCCCGCAGTGGATCGAGAGGATCCATCGCTGGGGTACGACCGCATATGCAAATGCCGTGGAGATGGATCTGGGATGGGCACAGATTCCGAGCTGCTGATCCTGGGATGCATGGTCTCACAGAAGCTGCCAGGAACGGTGCAATGCAGATTGGGGCGGGAGAAAGGGGGCGATGGCAGCGCTAGGGCGATATGGAGAGGAAGGATGGAGGGGAGAGGACAGACAGAGGCGCCGAGAAACTTGTTTCGTCCTCGCGACATGGTGGTGTGCATATTTCTGAAACTGGAATCTGGATGGCTCCTTGTTTCTGTTTCTTTTTGTCCATCAAGGAATGGTTCTCTCCATGATGAGCTGTAGCTGTAACAAAATCTAGCTTCTGTTTGCTCTTTAGTAAGCATAACACTTCTCCTGTGTCAATAAGGGGAACAAGGAAGCAATGTCAATAATTTTCTGCCCGCCACGATTCTGGCTTTGACTGGACTGGTAGTGACGGGATCATCTAGCTTCTTTCCAAGGCTAGCTAGCACTTGGTAAGGGATGACCTAATTTGGTGGGAAGGGAAGCATCGGGCTTGCTCTCACTCACTCACTCACCGCCAGCCAGCCAAGTAGCGAGTGAATGTTGGTATCGATAATAATTTTTACACTCTTAGTCTCAGAAGTCTCATAAACTTCAGACACGACACTGCGCATGACTAAGATGAGCGGTGAGGATGGCAGCGAGGAGAAAAAGCGACACCTGGGCAAGACTGAGTGATAGAATGATATGGTGACAGAGTGACAGACAGAGAGAGCAACACCCGACCCCCGATCCCCGGATCCAGCGCTATTCTCATAGTATTGGCCAGTAGGTGTCGATACTGTCATCGTCGCTCCCATACAGAGGAGCCTACACACTGGCATACCGACAAGCCTATCCATCACGATACACACATAGCGGACTATATCATGATGTACATACTGCTCATATACAGCAGGATCTACCTAGATATAGACATACTAGCAGTATATGATATTTTTTCCAGGGCCAGGACCACAAGTCTCGCCAAGCAGCATCATGCCCGTGGGAAGAAAAGAAGCAGGGCCAAGACCTACGACGGCACAAGCGGCAATCATCATCTTTTAGCTCCGACAGAACCCACTGATCACAGATCACAGAGTCAACCATAGAAGGCCAATTTGAAAAGCAAGTTGGCCTCCGTATATGTCAAGCAGGCGGCCAAATGGCAAGTGAGAAGCGCTGGCAGGCGATGTTTGGAGGCTGCTGCCTGGGATGTCAAGCTCGGCCGAGAGTGTGGGAACAAGAATATAGAACCACTAATAAAAGATTCTGACGAATTCCGCCGTATTTTCGGACCACTAACACCTGTTTCTGTAATGTACCGGCCTTCTGATCCAGAGAGCTCCGTCTATGCACCCGAGACCCCGAGAGCGAAAGCGAATGACTAGCGCGTGCACTTAAACCGGACTCCTCACGCAGCAGAAATCAGGCCATTGGCATTATTAGCCGACTTCTCAGAGGCTGCCAATTGCTGCGCTTCCAGATTGGAGTTTGGCCCCATAAGAGTAGGCCAATTGTGCTTTTCATTAGGTGAGCAGTAACCTTGCGCGGAACTTGTATACTGTGTCCCGAGAAGGCCAGAAGCTGATTCTACGAGTACCAGATACTTGGAGGATTCAAATGTCCATGATAGCTAGTTTGGCATGATCTACATTATGATAGAATAAGCATGTCGGATCATTGGTACAATTACTTTTTATCGCAATCATTTTAACAAATGCAATCAATTATGGCTCTGATAAGCTTCAAGAGGTGTATGATGAAACCGCTATTCAACCCCTTATGTTCTGTTCTATTTCTGCTAGGGGGAAGACTGGTGCTCAAACAGTTTTCGAAAGTACAGCTTGGACCTTGTGAAAATCTGGCCACTCGGATATTTTCTGGATTCTCTTTCCATCTTCAGTCATGGTAAGCACAAAGACATAGTCGGTGCCATACGGGCCTGCCTCCAATTGCCCCACACTGCTGCAAAGCATCGTCACAGTTCTCTTCTCCACATCTGTGTACATCTCATTGATAGTGATCTTGAAAGTCTTTAGGAGACTGAAGAACTGTGCCGCCCGTTCGTATGTTCGAAATCTAAACAAACATGATTTTAGCCCTGGCACCTCTTTTCTCAAAAGAGCACACATCTGACTCCAACATAACAAGGCTGGCATACCGCTACTTACTGTTCTCTAGTCATGGGGAAAACTCCCTCTGTATCTGGATGAACTGAATAATGTATATCATCGGTCCACCTCGATACGACCGTATCTAGCGAACGACTTTCCAGATCCGAGATCCAGCCAGCGGCTGTATCTTCCAGAATCTCTTTGAAAGACATTTCTATTATAGATTCGAGACTGTGGAGAACTCAAGGAACGTAGTAATCACAGTCGTCTGGTATGCGGACGGTGTTTTGCTTCTGCAAAGGAAATTCATTCAGATCCTCCGGAGTATATATTTGTTTTCTTTTTGTCTCTTTGTCACGGATCGTTGCTTGGCATTGTGTGGGTCATGACCCAAATTACACTTGAACTGTCCACTGGTGTTTCCCCGGACCCGGCCCTAGCGAGCGACCCGGGTGCCCGAGATGTTCAATATCTGTTGGCCAATCATCATCAGAATTGTACTCCAATCGGGAGAAATGTAAGAGACCTTGCTCCGACTCAGACAAAAAGTCACCGAATTCTTTCCGGAAGGCCTTAGGAATTCTATACGCCCTGTAGACTAAAATCCCAGGCTTGGTGCAAAGGATTGGGCTGCCCTTATATTGGATCTCTTTCCATGATATCGGCTTATCTAAGTACAAGTAATTGACTCCATCAATTGTCGAATAAGTTGACTTTCTCACTCAATCTTCGTTCAAGTTTGAAATCATCAAAAATATCATGCGTTTAGATGATAAAAACGTATCACTCATTTTTGGAGTGTCAGGAATAGTCTGTGGCTATCTTGAATTCACTTCTGGGAGAAGTTCAACTAACACCATGTTTAGTCTGGATGGTCTTTAGCACGGGAATGCCTTTCATATCCGTCGAAAGACACATTTTCTCGTGTTCTCGGCTTGAGTGCTCGACCATTGCCTAGACAGACCGCATATCTCCCTGACGATTCAAGGCTGGAGATTTATACTGGATTGGATCTTACGAGCAAGGAACAGACTCTCCAGACATTAGAGAGCATCCCAGCCATCCATGATGTGACCCATGTTTATTTTGTCGGTAAAAGCTCCCCAGCAATATAATCTTGATCGTTTTCACCATAAGTTCTAACAGCTATGAATAGCATACACCGGCCACGGTAGTAATATTCAGGAAGTAGTCAGGGTGAATGGTGCAATTCTTGAGAACGCTCTGGTTGCAGTGAAGAATTTATGTACCAACCTGAAGTTCTTTACACTTCAGACTGGTGGAAAGGCAAGGATTTCCTTTGAAAACCCAATCGATGCACTAACTTTCTAACCTTGAGAAGGGTTATGGCACAGTTGGTGCCGGGTGGCCCCCTGCACCATGGAAAGAAGACCTTCCTCGCATGCCGGAGCCATATGCGTCAGATATCTTTTACTATTTCCAATACGACATCCTAGTCAAACATGCTCAGAATACTTCGTGGCACTGGTCTGAGATTCGACCGTCGTTTATTGTATGAGAATAAAACCGTTTCATCCTATTTCGATACTTGACTGACAACTATGCAATTAAAGCCAGGATTTACTCCCCATCATAACGCCATGAATGTAGCCCAGGGATTGGGGCTATTCCTTTCGTTTTATCGATCAAAGAAAGGCTTGGGAGCCGATTGCATATTCCCAGGGACTCCAGAGTCTTGGACAGCATTGCATACCGACTCATTCCAAGACTTGGTAGCCCATTTTCATATCCATACCTCGTTACAACCTGAGAAGACTCATGGGCGCTCATTTAATGTTGGAGATGGTCAATCGGTCTCGTGGGAGGTCAAATGGCCTATTGTCTGTAATTATTTTGGATTGAAAGGTATTGGACCCACTATGCGTCCTGAAGAAGAGCTTCGGGGTATAGACTGGCTCATAGCCCAGAAGGATTTCTGGCCGGGATGGGTCGAAGAGAACGGACTCAGGCGGAACACGCTCGTCGATACGCAGTGGGATAGCCTTGCTTTAACACTATCGTTTCCGATTCGTATAGATTACGACTTAGGGGCCTCAAGAAGCATCGGGTTCCAAGAGACTTTGGAACCAGGGCAGGGCTACCTATTGGCTTTTGACCGACTCAGAAAGGCAAAATTTCTACCCTGAGAATTGAGAACAAGGCTAGATTATCTTCTGAATACTATTCCCTCGTTGTATCTAGGGATTGTGCTTCATTGCGAGCTTCTTACTGAGTCGGGTCAAGGATATGCCGCCGGGACAACAACATGGTCGTCCAATAGCCTAGGTTGGTGCTAGCGTCGCGGAGAGACCAGTACTACCTTAGGGCCAGCGTCGCCTAGCGAGCTCCTGCTTTAGTCTTGTTTGCAGTGTTGTCAGGTTATCAGCATTGAAGTGCAGCTTCGCTTTTAACCCACCATCAGCACCCTAGTTAGCCGGACAAGAACGAGCAGGAGCAAGAAGCAGAAGAGATACTTAAGCAGTAGCTATGTCGAAGGTCGAAGTAGGCCGCGTCAAGCACGCATAGAGTCCCTTGGGTGAGTTATAAATAAAGTCTGCTGGTGCGTGACGGACCAGCCGCTACGTATGTATCCTTGCAAGAACCGAAATGTAGGCGGAAGTACATGGTGTTTGGTAAATACACAAGCATTGACTCTACCGGATGCGCAGCTTGCATTCTTGAATATCTTCCGTCCCACATCATGATCATTTAAGTTCTGTCAGTTGTTGAGTTAGCAAAGATAAACTTTGGATCACAATGGAAGCGTAGAGGGTTTTGTGACTGCTCCTGAAGTATTGTCCGGTAGGGCCCATAGTTCCTAGTTCTACTACATTCGTTAGATATTCAACGCTGGATTCATTCCCACAGTTTTCAAAGGTCTGAACTGCTAGCAGCTTAAGCACTATGTTCTTTTCTGCCATTTGTAATACAAGGCAGGATTCAACACAGGCGGAATACCCGACGCAACGCCTCTAACGTTCTGTGAACGTTTCCGAACCAACGAGCATTGTCTGGACCCGAGTAACGACATGCTCCGGGTCTTTGATCAGCCTAAAATTGCAGTGAAGGATGGATACCTGCAGGTAGCCTCGTTGATTGATCAACAAGTGCCTACATCCACAGTTGCAAATTATTGAGGTTGCCTGATTGTCCTTGTTACTCACCTTCAAGCAAACATATACAGATCAAGTATCTATTATTCGTTGAATCTGATAGAGGGACTGATACCGACTCTCTGGCTACCACGAAGAGCGATACGACGTATCTGCTCAACCTATAGTGCCAAGATTGATTAATAACGGCTTCTCAGCAGCAAAATGCCCTCAACAAAGTTTACGAGACTACTCCACCACTGAAGCTGCACCGAACACTCCAGTAGTTGCACCTTTGTTTCTGTGTGTGTGATTTGTTGAGCCATGATCACGACCAGATTTTGAGATCCTGTGTGAGGCTAAATTTGCAGCCAAAAAAAAAAAAAAAAAGGCACATGACAGCTCACCCAGATGCTTCACACTTGGTCCCTGCTTTGATTAAGCAGCCTGCTCAATTTTGGAAGTGCCAAGTGACACTAATTTTGCAGTGAACCAGAATTACGTCACTCCAGGATGTCCTTCTAACTTCTCACGGACTACGCAACTAAGAGCCTTGCAGCCTTACAACACTAAAATTGCAGTGAAAGTCGGCAGAGCAAAAAAGGTCTCTCTGATCAATACCTCCTCCACACAAGGTAAAAAAAGAAAAATAAATTCGCAGCATCCTACCACACGGATTCTCTCGTCTCCAAGTTGACAGTAACCCGCGTGCTGGTTGCATTTGTTTCTCCAATTGTTTCCGTCCATAGAGAAAACGACGCAAGTGTCCGCCACCAGAATACGCCTGTCCGTCTGCGCAGGTGTTCCAGGTTCCTCATCATGATACATATTCCCCGTCCGATCAACCAACCATCGTCCTTCGCTCCCGGCCCGCCAATTGTCCAGTCAGCCTGTTGATGCCTAAACACGGTGCGGTGCATGCGTGTTTTCCATGATCTGTTTGGTTTGGGGTTCATATTAGAAATGAGACATTCGCCTACGCATCCATCATTGTCTTTTGTCGTGGTCATCATCCCTCAAGTTGAGCAGACGGGTACAGTGCGACCACATCGTCCACGACACTGGCGGCGTGGCGGCCCTCGCCCCACGTATGGATGGCGTTGATGAACTGTGCGAGCCTGACGACGTCGGCTCTTTTCGTAGTGCATCCGCCCATCAGACGCGTCATGGTGCATCCGCTCCACCATGCACCGTACTTTCGTTCATTGTGGTACGTCTCCTGGCGCGCCTGGCGGTGCGGGGCGTCGTCGCTGACTCCAGCTTGGACTTGGGCTTCAGGTTCAATCTGTCGCTTTCGTAGTCCGGTATCCGCCGGAACGAGGCCTTGGTTCGATGATGCCATTGTCGTAAGATTCGAACTCTTCACCACAAGAGGCGCAGATCCAGCACCGGCACGAGAACGTGCCCCATCATCTGAAGGTTTTCCTTTTACATCTTCCTTGCCGCAGCAATCGTGAACATGCCGACCGCTTCCCACGTTCCTCGACGGCCGCGACAAGGCCTTCTCAATAGATCGGTAGCTGATGATGCCCGTCGGTGTGTTAGGCGTGAGCCGCCAGAGCGTGAAGGACTCCTAACCCAACACAACTGCATAGTGTACCACGTCACCCGTGTCAATACTAAATTGCCCGTTCACATAGGCCATCTCCTCGCGGAGTAGGTAGCGATTGTATAGGCTGGCCTCGCCGGCCCTGGATATTAGGGCAACGCTGTCACATACGTCCGCCGTACGATGGCTGCAGTGTTCGCAGACACAGTAGTTGACCGAGAGGTATGGTGTCGTTACTCTCTTGTGGAATGTGCCGGTTGCGTTAGAGATGACCTCTGTAATGGATGGATGTAGATTGGCGTTGGCGATGAGCAACCAGAACGAAACATGGGCAGAAGCAGCAGGTAATGGTAGAGTTTCGGCTGATTTGACGCCAATGTCGTTGATGTCGCCACTGTCGTGGTGAAATTGTTGAGAACCGGCACGAGAGGGATGGCGCCAAAGGCTTTGGGACTCATCTTGAATGTTGGGGTCTGCGCCGAGAAGACGGATTGCCACCGGTGTGTTGTTGTACGTCAATACGGTTGACGCTGTCTCATCATCGGAAGGTAGGATATGTGGTGCGGCGGTATTGCGGAAGAGGGTGTGTTGTACGACGTCGGCAAGCTCGAGAATAGTGTCGAAGCATGGTAGAGATCGTCTGACAGCGACAATGAAGGTATTGACTTCGCTGATGCTGACATGGTGAGGGGTAGTATCGTCGGCAAGAGGCTTCGGAAGATCTGAGTCACAGACATCATCGCCGAAAATATCGCGGAGAGATGTGTATCTGGGGAACCAGTGGATGACAAGCCGAGGAGTTGGCTTGGCGCCCTTGGCGGAGTTATATGAGGTGCTCGGCATGATGGCTCTGAGACGTCGATTGACAGTCTCCCAGAGCTGGCGTATCTCATCCGGATCAGTGTCTGGCTCGAGAGCTGTGGCAGACTCCGAGAGCTGAAATCCGTACCCGTGAGGGCTGTTGTTGGTGTTGTCGGGGAGAATAGAAGGAGAAGGAGGGGCAGAATGGGAAGTGGTGGAAGTAGAGGAAAAGCTTGGGTGGACATATTCTCCCTCTTTCTCGAAGGGCTTCTGCTGCTCGTTGTTGCTGTTGTGGCTGCCCTGGCTCAAACGATCGTGGTGAGGTGCTGATGATGCCTTTTTGCTGCTTCCTTGGGAATCCAAATCCATATCCAAATCCAAATCTGAGCCGTGTGTGTCGTTGTCAGCCGCTCCAGAGTGGTGGTAGGTGTCTTGCTCTCCCCATGCTTGGTTGACGGCCAACAATGCAGTGCCTGAGACCAAAATCAGTTCGCCCAGTCTACCAGCATTGCATTTCGTTCTCTCTTTCTTTCTATACTCACGCTTCTTCTGCTGCACTTCTTGTTGATGCTTGTGCTGGTAGCTAATGTCATCCCCCAAAGAAGACGAGCACTGTCTCTTTCTTGTCTCACGACCAAGCGAGTTGGTGATGTCCCCCAGCACGAGCCTACTCTGCTGAGTACTTCGGCCGTGGGGGAGCATGATGGAAAGAAGGGAGAAGGGAGAAGGGAGAAGAGAGAAGAGAGAAGGGGGAAAGGTGTGATGATTCGGAGGTGAATGTCGTCTATGATGCCTGAATTATCCTTGTGCGATGGATGATGGATGAACCCTTACTTTGTCTGTCGCGCGTGGTTGTTTTCTTTTTGTTTATTACGCTGCCCACCTACCTGCCGTCCGCTGACGTTAACACTGGCACTGATTCCACACAGTCGCGGGCACAGTCACCGACACAGACACGTGCCTATGATGGATAAGGGGTACCCACCTACCTACGTAGTTACTCAGACCTAGAAGAGGTTTAACCACACGGCAATGAGAAGTGGTAGATGGCCTTCACAATGACACAGGCGTCGACCTTGAACATTGCACAGGAGGCCAGCCTACCTAAATACAGAACACATACACAGCCATATCAGGCAGGAATCGCAGCGCTATTCCTCCTTGTCGCTGCTCATTGACTGCGTTGTCGGGTTGTCGGGTTGTCGGGTTGCGTCGTCTGTCATATCTATCATCAGTGACAGAATCAAAGCACGAGATCATATTGACGGTAAGACAAGCACCTTTGACATTAGATAGCCATTCTTTCCTACTGACGAATATCCTTTCACTCGTTGGCAAACACATCCCCACATCCCCACATCCTTCCTGTCTCAGCAGTAGGCAAACGGGGCTAAAGCCTTCCACAATCCTCGCAGTGCACGGCACGGAGCCCCTAACGGCGTCTACTGCGTCGTCGGTGCATTCATCAAGCAACAGGCACACTTTTTGCTCAGATTCAAGGCTTACCGATAGCAAGCAGGCTAATCCGGAGGGCATGCATCAGACGCCTGCTCACGCAGTGGCCTGTAGCCATTCGCGGTGCATGCTCGTGGAAGCTCTCGGCCGCACCGCGAGGAAGATGGACGCCCAGATACGCGGAGTGCAAGGCGACGGGCAGGACCGAGGTATGCTGATCAAGGCCAGACTAGCCCGTCCCAACGTCCGGTTGGCCGGACCGGACAGTCCCAGAGTCGAAATGCCCGGTAATATGGCGAATCTTTTCGCCGGAGGCTGTGGACAAACTGCCATGTTCTGGCATATAAATATGCTATGCTCTGGCGTGACGGGGTCTGCGAGGCTTGATACATACAGATGTAATGGCGAGCGACAGTCTTCTGCCTCACGGTGTTTGATCCTTTGGCCTGTGTCGAGGTGGTTTGTTGCGCGCGGTAATTACTTGCTTTTAACGTAGAGATCATCTTGGAGCAGCAGCTCGAGGGTCTGTGCTAGGTTCGCTCTGATAATGGGTCTTTCTTGAGCCAGCAGAGGGGCCTAAGGTAGCGAGCGCCCCCATCCTGCCTGGAGGGATACTCGAGTTGCATCTCGGCGGGAATCACAAACTGCTCACACATCCCGCTACGGTTTGTGTAGGAAGTTTAGTATCCAGGCTACCTTTCGTTGCCAACCCTGAAATTTCACGTGGTAAACCCGGGCGCCACCGCCGAGAACAGCCACTTGTCGCGATGGCCATGACTGGCGGTGAAGAATCGTCAAGACCACTACGGTTGTTCCCGTTCCGAACTTCTGGCGGGGTAGTTTGTGTGGTGCTCATATCATATGCGACGAGGGTGCGAGGGTTAAAGATGAAAAGTTGGAGAGTCGACGAAAGTCTCGTGTGGTTGTGGCTGTGCTCCGAATCTTTTACCACACACATGTCTAGCAGAGGGGGCGCCGCCATTGAAGCGATGGCGCTAAACTGGGCAGAGAACGACAAGACAGCTTGATGAGTGGCATCACGGACCCTTCAGTGGTAGGTGCCGTTGCAAACACAGGCGCAGCCATCAATCGAGAATACACAAGATCTTTATTCCCAGACTCAGATCCTGAGGCATAATAGGGGGAATGGGACACGACAACATCTCTTGAGGCGATGACAATCCGGGATATCCAGCTTAGGCGTCTGACTCAAGCTGGACATCAAATACCGAGACCTTGATCAAGACAATCTTCCAAGTAAAAGATAGAAAATTTCACGTCGCAGTCACTGACAGATAACATGGAAACAAGAGACAGAAGCTAACAGACAGGAATCAACTTGTCGAATCTTACCGGTTAGCGGGCTTATTATATATAAGTGGTTCGCGTGTGTAGCTGCTGTGCCCTTTATAAATAGCCCAATCCTGTTTACAAATGTAGCGGGAAGGGGGCTCGGAGCGTCGTAGATGTGATGCTACCTAGATTTTATCCAAGGGTGGCAGCAATTTGATTTCACTTGGAAGGATGCTAGATAGTGTGTGCTTTTCCATTTAGGTCGATAATATCACTCCTTGCCATACATTCGTTTTTCACAACGAGACCCGGCGGGCTAGAGTGGAAGGAAAAATTGCAAGCCCAAGAACCATGCACAGTCGGCGGCGGTGGATCTAATAAACTGGGATCCTCATGGCAGCAGAGAAGGCAGACAAGGCGACCACTGTGTCGCTGTGGGCGGCAGAGGTGGATGAAGGGTGGGATTAACGCGTAATCAGGAGGTCAACAACACCAAGAACACTGCCGGCACCATCATCATCACCTGGAACCGTGATTCCCATCGACAGACAAGAGTGCCGCACAGCTGAGCTCCGAGGCCGATGGTCTGTCTAATGGGCCGAGGGAAGCTGCCGGGACGGTACACGCCTGCGGGCATGGCAGCCATCTTGACAGTCGCATATCCGTTTGACACCTTCCGGAAGCTGATCGACAAGCTGGAGATTGACTGGATGATGAGGGAGTGGGAGATGTTGGAGGTACAATTTGGTTTCTGGAAGGGTATCAACCGGAGTAATCTCTACGAGGTGTTCCTCCCACAGGAAGCTCCCGAGCCGAAACTTACATTGATGGCAGACTACACTGCGTTGCTCGGGGATAAATTCGTACAGTGTCGAAGGGATCTGCGACCATACCTGCCGGACTGGGCAAAAGACCTGGCTCTTGAAGGGGAACTTGTCGACGTCGAAGACCTGGATGGCGACTATGGTGGCGATGTTCCGATAAGTGGTGTGCTTCATGGAGCTGAGGCTGTGTTCGACCGGATGCTTCAAACCACAGCCGATGCCAGCGCAAGAGCTTTGCAGATAGCTGGTCAAGCTTATCAATATAAAGGCGGAAGAGATCCTCCCGATCTGGTCTAGGTACTGGGTTGACTGGCTGGCAAGGACCAACAACTTTGAGGAGTAGCTTATTATACAGTCGCTCTTCCTATAGAGCGCTGGGAGGCTAGAGAGCTTATATGGTGACATTAACGTCTCAATTCCTAAAGAATATATATTGTTGGATATGGACGTCGCCGAGCTTAAGGTTCCGGATGCTAGTTCACGGGTGTCGAGAGCTTACCTTAGCAGCGCTCTGCTGTATGCAGACTGTGCAGACGAAAACACCCAGCTCTCCAGCCTTATGGCGTACTAAGGCAAGCTTGTCGTCAATCTAGTTGAACGTATCACCTCCCTATAGATCGAATTCTTCGTAAGGGCTCTTGCCAACACTACCTCCACGAAAATCGATAAAGATGTCTTTATATTTGATAAGCTCTGTATAGAGATCATCATCCATAGCATCAAGCGAAATCGATAGCGGACAAATAGCTACGACACTACTATTGGAGACGATATGGAGATACTAAAAGCGCCAAGCTCTATCGGGATAGTAAATGATGAGAAGATAATCGATATACTAAAGCTGTCAAAGTGGTAGCTCTGCCAGTTTCTCGTATCTAGAGCGGAACTGTAGGATGTCCTCACAAAGTACTAGAACCGTCCATATTGTCAGAAGTTTAGCCCTAATAGTACTGCCGCTTCCTTTGTTGATCTCTCGAAAGTTCCCAACCAAAACGCCTCTAGCTCCAGACAGCGTCAATGGCCAGCAGCTGGTAAGCTACTTCAAGGACTTTTCTGATGTCCTCTGCAAGCTCTTTGGCGATTACGACCACTCATCTGGCACCAAGAACCCCTCAGTCAATGGAGACACAGCCAACGGGCACTCGGTAAACGGGCACCTGGTGAATGGGTGTGGCACCAGCGTGCCGCCTGCGGACGCGAACGATCCTGCTGAGGACCTGCCGACCGTCATCGACATCTCAGATGGAAGCGGACCATCTCCTGCATGTTCTCCAACATACTTACTACTCACACCCAAAATACCTCCGCCATTCAAGCTACTGGACTCGCTGGTAGAGCCATTGTCATATGCCCAGACTTCTATGCCTAGATTCACTTCAGCTATGACGAAGCTGCCGTCTCCTGAGAAGACCTTCTCTCAACCTACGAAGACAATACCTATCCCGCGGCCCAATCCCTTCAATCCCAGCATCAAAGCAGATTCCCCAGCTATGAGCACTTGGAGCAGGCAATCTCTTACGCCAGTCGTCGAGGCCAATGGGACAGGGTAGTCCCTGAAAGGCCTTTTTGCTGGTAGGAAATACGTACCCACGAAACGTAGAACAAGCAGCCCAGAGGGGAGCTTTCCGAAGATACCAAGGCTTTCGGCGTTGACGGTGGAAGATTTGAGAGAGGAGTTGAAGATTTGTAGAGAGGGTATGAACGCTCTTAAGGCTGGGTATGAGAGCGATCGGAAGCAGCTGTTGACAGAGATGCGGGCCGAACGAGGCCAGCTTGAATCGTAGCTCAAGGACGTAGGCAAGCTATTGTAAGAGTTGCGAGCAGATCTCCAGACTAGTAGAGCCGACACACTCTCTCTATTCGAGACCAACAAGCTACATCTCGAAACTGATCATAAGGAGCTTGCCGAATCTATCAAGCAACACACAAAGTCGACAGACGCAAATTCTACCAAGTTGTAAAACAGGCTCTAGAACAAAATCAACGCTATTGTATTTAAATTGGTCTGGCGGTCGAGCCTTAAGTAGTGCGTTATGCGCAATCGTTGTGTCTGGAGAGCTTTGTATGACCTCGAGGATTTCGCTGGACTCGGTTTCCAACTGGAAAAGCAGTGCGGCCAGCTCGTATATGTCAGTGGCGCTCTCTCTATACTTTGCTTTCGCAGTGAGAGCGCATTCCCTTTTCGTTGCCCGTCGGGGAACAATTCTCAGATATTAGAAAAAAAAAAAAAGACTATTAATTAAGAATATTATACGGATAAGCCGCTTAGTAGCACTACCTAGGTAGACAGCTTGGCCTGCTACGGAGGTACAGAATCTCGTTATAGTGTGAGGGGCCAAAAACCGAAAAAGCACAGTGGTGCCTACAGGTCTCCGTAGTGATTGGTCCGTTTTGTTTGGAGCTTATTCGCGGTCGGTTTAGCGAGGGAGGGTCGAGGAGCCTAGGTGCGTTTTGCACTGCTTATTACTTCATAATTTTCCGACAGATCTTCTGTGAAGCCAACTGGCAAAGAAGGGGGGTGTGGCTGTGCACGCGAGGGATCCGGTGGTAGCTAGACGCTTACGCTCGCGGCTCTTGAGGTGAGAATTAGCGATGCTCATTCCAGCTTCTCCTCTATTTGGTGAATTGCCTGATGTCATTAGCATCGACGTCGATCCTTGTAACCTTACCTTGTCAGCCTCGGAAGTACACAATATCAAGATGCCACGTCGATTTCACCGAAAGTCCCGCTTTGGTTGTGCTGAATGCAGGAAGCGAAGAGTCAAGGTACGTTTTGGCTGCAGCAAGGGCTAGTTTTCCTCTTGGAATCAGCTCGCTCAATTCCAGTTGCCGTAGTGTGACGAAGACGAACCCATTTGCGGAAGATGCATGAGGACGCGCTCCAAATGCAACTATCCAAGCAGCGTGCAATCTCATCCGGAGTCCCCGCCGTTGGTATCTGCTGCGTCTGAATCGCCTAGCAGTTCGCCGTTGGGTGCGCGGGATTATCCCGCACCCCAGCCCGGGTCCTTCGATCATCTCGACATGATGTTAATGCATCACTACTCAACTGACACGTGCAAGCATCTGTTCAAGGGGGCTCAACAAGCCCAGGTCTGGCAACACGACATACCTGCCCTTGCGGGCTCCAATGCCGTCTTACTGCATGGTATCCTCGCGGTGACGGCTGTCCATTACGCCTGGAGAGAGCCCGCCCGGTGTAACCTCTACCGGAGTCGCGCCCTCTACCATCATGCTCTCGGCCTTCCGAAATTCCAGGAAATGGTCGCCTCCGCTTCGCCAGAGACAGCGGAAGTCATTGTAGCGTACGCGATCCTTCTCAGTCTATGGATGTACGCCTTTCCGGGACTAGCGGCCGAGCAACAGTCTCTCGACGACATTCTGAGCATGGTCGAGACGATACGTGGCGCGCGGTCGGTCTTCCGCCTCTATCGAGACACCATCATGGAAAGGCCCATGAGTGTCTTCTTACAGCCGCCTTCTGTAGCACCCATCCTCGGCGACCAGCAAGTGTCCTCTGTGCGCCAATCTTTGCAATTCCTACAGGACCAAATACACCACGAATCCGACAAGAGGGCAGTGCAGCAATTGCAGATATTCTTGGATGGATACGTTACGGGTCATGACCACAATCGATTGGCCGCCAACTGGATGGCTTCAGTCGAGGATGACTATTGGGCTCGTCTTCGCGACCATCATCCCCACGCGGTTTTAGTGTTTGCCTACAGCTCCCTCCTCGTCCGCGCCTCGGAGCACGAATGTTGGTGGATGTCGGGATGGTCCGAGCGGATTTTGCGAGCTTGTAGCGATGTTATGAGCCAACAAGAAGGGGCGACGGTCGATTGGTCGTATCACGAGCATCGAATCCGAGTAAAAGCCCACGAATTAGCAGGTATGGTGAGATCGGCGCAGGGGAGGGTGGCTGAATAGATGCTCGCGTCATCTTCAATACGTACCTTATCATTAAGCTCCCACAATATTGCCGGCGTGGTTCAGAAATACCCCCTGCTCAGCGACGTAGGGCTTACTGTGGAGACAAAAGGTCTCCCCGCCAAGGCTTATCGCTCCTCGTTCACATCGTTCACATCGTTCAACCCGTTTAGCCCGTTTAGCCCGTCCGGCAGGATCTACAAGCATTGCACTCCTGGCTTCAGGTTCTGCCAGGGCAAATCAATGATCATAACTTTTCATCCTTTGATTCCTGCAATTGTGTAGGCGGCTTAACTACTCAAACGGGCTTTCTTAAGACAGTAGATGAACAGTCTATAAGTATGAAAGGAAAACGGCGTCTCCTCGACGTTTTCATGGTCATGACAACTTGTCAGTCAGCCAATTACTCCCCGAGTCTATCACAATCAGCATATAATCAATCTTGCCTCGAGCCGTTGATCTGAATTCATAATACCCACCTGCTGCCTCCTGTCCGAACCGACTATGCCTGACTCTACCGATGATTGCAAGGCAGTCTCCCCGAGCTGTCCGGTCGATGCGACGGTATACGGCTACGCTCCAAACCTTGGTGGTAATGCTTTTTACGCCGTCGTATTCGCCATCTGTGCCCTAGTCCAGTTCTACTATATATGTCGATTTTGGCGACTTTGGAAGGTCTTTTCCATCATGACCTTTGTCGGCTGTGTGGGCGAATGTTGTGGCTACATCGGCCGCTTGTTCCTGCACAAGAATCCGTGGAACGGCGCCGCTTTGCCGATACAACTAGTGTTGCTCATGGTCTCGCCGTCCTTCCTAGCTGCAGCGCTGTATACAACACTGAGGACACTGGTGCAGCATTTTGGGCCGGAGCACACGAGGCTACCGGAACGCTTTTGGACTTGGCCCTTCGTGACCGCCGATCTGGTGGGCTTCTTCCTGCAGTGTGGTGGCGGTATCCTGGCTTCTATGAGCGACACAAATCCCAGCCTGGGGTCGGCTGGTAACACGATCATGATCTTTGGTGTCTCGTTCCAGGCCGTCATTATGGTAATTGCGGGGCTTCTCGCAACCGACTTTACCCTGCGGATTGGTCGTCGACATGGTTCTCAAGTATTTTCGCTCCTCCCAAGATATCTTAAGATTTTCCTGTTAGCCATGACGGCGGCGTTCTTTCTGATTTTAACGCGATGCATTTATCGGTGAGTTGAGAGACCGGAGGCGGGAATGCCGCTAGTCAGCCGTACTGATCATGTCTTGACAGGATACCTGAAATGGCGGGCGGTGTTGGTGGTACTCTGATGCGACAAGAAGCCGAGTTTATGGTCTTTGATGGCTTGTGAGTCTTCATATATAGGGCTGGCTGCCCT